TTTGTGTTGTTGAAAAAAGGTGTTTGCAATGAACAAGTCATTGGTCTTGCAAAATTCTACCATGCGAGTTCCAGCATTATTTCTGTCACCAAGTCCAGATTTTCCAACTATCGGTGATTCTTCTTTGTTTCCAACTTTTGCATTCCAGTCACCAGTGATAATTAACACATCCTGATTGCATGTTCGGTCAGTTTCTGACTGCAGAAGTTGATAAAAACTTTCAATTTCCTCATCTTTGGTTTTGGTGGTTGGTGCATAAATTTGAATAGTAGTTGTATTAATGGATCTTCCTTGTAGGCGTATGGATATTATTCTATCACTGACAGCATTGTACTTCAGGACAGACCTTGAAATATCCTTTGTGATGATGAATGCCACACCATTCCTCTTTAAACTTTCATTCCTAGAATGGTAGATCATATGGTTTTCTGATTCAAAATGGCCAAAACCAGTCCAATTCAATGCTGAGGATATCAATCCTCAATGCTGAGGATATCAACCTTTATGCGTTCCATTTCATTTTTGATAACTTCGAATTTTCCCAGATTCATACTTCGTACATTCCATGTTCTGATGATTAATGGATGTCTACAGCTGTTTTTCCTCAATTTGAGTGGTTCCACATCAGCAAATGGAGGTCTTGAAAGCTTTACCTTATCCATATGAATAAGGATGGATTTAATCTGATGATGCGGCTCTTTCTCAGTCCTAGTTTGAGAGCCTTCTAACCTAACTGGATTATTCATAAAGTTGTATAGTAATGTATCAGACAGTGTTTCTTTGCTATTCATAATGTTTTCCCTGGCCAATTCTTTGAGAAGTGGATGGCCTCTTCATTCTTCCTAGTCTGTCTCAGTCTGTAAGCCGGGCTGTTACCTGTGCACCATGTGCATCTCACTGGGTTTGAAACACCAGTGGCTCAGCCTCAAAACTCACATCAACACATGACCATGGTAGGACAAACTGACAGACAAGTTTGTCTCCCTGTTGGAAACCTCTCCTACCACCCTTACCTGGGTCCATGCGGCTGACTCCTCTTCTATCCCAGTTCCTGGGGCTTTTAATCCCCTTTCTCCTGCTCTCCCACCCTGCTGCTTTGGGCGTGCCTGGGTTCCCCCTCCTCACCTGGATCCCTGTGGCTGACTGCTCCTCTGTTCCGGTTCCTGGGTCTTTTAATCCCCTTTCTCCCACTCTTCTGCTCTGCTGCTTTGGGCATGCCTGGGTTCCCCCTCCTCACCTGGATCCCTGTGGCTGACTGCTCCTCTGTCCCGGTTCCAGGGCCTTGCTTAGGTGTATATATGTCAACTGTTTATCAAATTATATACTTTAAATATGTTTTTATTTTGTATGCCAATTATATCTCAATAAGATGGAAAAAAAAAAAAAAAAAACAACTATAGGCACAATGGAAGGTACATGGACTTTAGAATCAGACAGGTCTGGCCCTGACAAATTTCAGATATTGGCTATGTGACCTTGGGAAAATACTCAGCTTCTCTGACCTTTAATTTACCTATAGGACAGCAATGATAAGATGCACTTAGCAACTAAATAAACTATAGATACACCTTGCAGAATCATGGTGAAGATTACATTAGATAATTTAAGTGAAAATACTGAGAGTTGGCTGTACCTGATGGTCACACAACAGGAGGTGGTTGTTATTATTTACTGGTATCATTACCTTGATCACACCGTGCCCCCTTCCATCCTGGGCTGCAGTAGCAGGTCCCGGTGATGTGATCGCAGGTGGAGTTATTCAGACAGTCACATATCTGACGACAGCCGTAGCCATATGTTCCTGCAGGGCACTCTAGAGAAGGAGAACAAAGTCAAATGTAGCATCCCAAGCTTGAAAATCTGGAGCAAGTCTGTCTCTTACGTAAGTGTGGAGGCAAGGCTCCTTTTGGGGGATCCTTGTCCAGGCAGGGTGTCCCAGAGCTGAACAGCATTCCCTCAACCATGGTGGGTCTCATAGCTTAGGCTGTTCCGGGCTACAGACTGAGCTGCTCAACATTATAGCTCTTGACCCATCAACTCCCTGATGGTAATAGAGACGAAGCTGAAAGTAGTCTGTGGAACAGTGATGGAGCTGGTAAGAATAATCATTAAGCGCAATATGAGACGAATCCTCCAGGCAAAGTGTGGGTGTGGACTGGCCCTAGACTGAACACAGTAGAGATGCTTCCTTAAGAAGATTCTTATTTTACTGTAGGATCCTCCTAAAAGTATTCTAACTTGGCTGATCTGGGAGTAGGAGAAGGAGAAGCAGGTTTCATTAACTTCATAAGTAAATTTATCATGTTGTTGTTGTTAGATGTCATCAAGTCACTTTTCAACTCACAGTGACCCCATGTGACAGAGTAGAATTGCTCCATAGGGTTTTCTAGAGTGTTATTTTTATGGAAGCAGACCACCAGGTCTTTCTCCCACTGAGCTGCTTGGGGGTTGTAACCACCAACGTTTTGGTTAGCAGCAGAGTGCTAGGCCACTGGGATCCTACAAAGGCACCTTCAGTTTATCATGTTGCTGTTGTTATGTGCCATCGAGTCAGTCCCAACTTATAACCACCTCTTCTTGAGTTTCCAGGGGGTATCAATACAGAAGTAGATTGCCCAACCTTCCTTCTGAGGAGTGGCTGGTGGTTTTGAACCGCCAGCCTTCTGGTTAGCAGTCAAGTGTCTTAGGCACTACACTATCAGAGGTCCTAAATTTATCATAGAATGGCTCAAAGTTTCGATTTGCAGGTTGAACTCTTAGAAATGAAAACAGTGAGATTCTTGTGGTGTGGTCTTAATAGCAATGGTTTCAGCATAGATTTTAATGAACAGCATCAGATTATCATTGAGTCAATTCTGACTCATAGGGATCCTGTATGACAGAATAGAACTGTTTCCAAGGCTTTAATCTCTTTATGGAAGCAGATTGCCACATTTTTCTCTTGCAGAGCAGCTGGTAGGTTGGAACCTCTGACCTTCTGCTTAGCAGCAGAGCTCTTAACCAGTGTGCTACCAGGGCTCCTTAACAGACTGCATAAAAAAAACCAAAAAATCTTGTTGCCATCTCATCGATTCTGACTGATAGCTACCCTTTAGCACAGGGTTGTTGTTGTTGTTGTTATGTGCCGTCGAGTCGGCCCCGACTCATAGTGACCCCTCCTTGGGTTTCCGAGGCAGTATCACTACGGAAGTAGGATTGCCCAACCTTCCTTCCGAAGAGTGGCTGGTGGGTAGAACTGCCCAATAAAGTCTCTAAAGCTGTAAATCTTTGTGGAAGCAGACTGTCACATCTTTCTCCTATGGAACCTACCTTTCAGTTAGCAATTATGAGCTTAACAACTGCACCATGAGCGCTCCTTAAAAAACTGCATAAAAACCAAAACCAAACTCACTGCCATCGAGTCAATTCTGACTCACAGCAACCCCCTTTGGGTTTCCGGAGCAGTAAGTCTTTACGGAAGTAGATTGCCCAATCTTCCTTCTGTGGAGTGGTTGGTGGGTGTGAACCACTACCTTCTGGTTAGCAGTCAAATGCCTCAGGCACTACGCTACCAAAGCTCCTTAAAAAAAAAAAAAAAAAAGGCGCATAGTTTTATTAAATCTAAAAATCAAGATAAAATACTGATGTTGTTTTTAAAGCTAACAGCAGGGGGCAATGTACTATTATCATTAGAGTGTTCTGTCAAACACAGGTTTCTGCTTACAAATGAGCATTGGGAGAAGTCTCCAAAAATAGAGACATTTTAATTTGATGTTCAGAGTAATCACGGAACCACTTAAGAGGCTTTTATTTAATAAGACCTTAACCATGATGGCATTCAAGTGAATGCCAGTTTGGAGCTTATATTGGTTTCTATGCACAGTTTAGACATTTACATGCATGCACACAATATTTATATACACAAGGAGGGGTGCACATACTACTGAATGACTCATTGTCTGTTTTATGAGTAAATGGACCAGTAGTGTAAAATTAAAATTGGACCGTATCTGTCTTGTGCTGATTTTTGGTTGTATGTGCTAGATTTCAGCAGATGCAAAAATATCCTAGGGTTTAGCACATAACTGGCTGCCCAGCAGTGTTGGTGAAGTGCCGGTGGAGTGGAGGGGACAGATACCTCATTGCCAAAGGGATAGTTGCCTTCCTATGCTGATCAGACTTTTCAGGCTACATCGTACAATTCTTGCTGCATCCTTCTCAAGAGTGCATCCTTTGTTGAATTGGAAACGTCTTGCACCTTTTCCTGCCTATATGGAATTTACAATAGGAAGGCAAGCCCCATGCAGCTCTAAGCCCTCACTTATTCATGTTGGTGACTGACTGAAAGTCACAGGGGAAAGGCATGATAAACTAATTTGAAATACTCAGTTTAAGACTAATGTTCTTCAAACTCTAGAAGCAGGTACATAGCTGGCTGTTGGAAATGGAAAACAGGGATAGGTTATGCCAACAGAGTATATTCCTCCCAAGTGGGATTTTTACAACAAAAAATTTTAAGGAAATATAGTCACATGAGGTTAAGACTCGGATGAAAAGATGTTAGTGGGAACAGTGTAAAAGCACTACCTAGAGAAGTTTGTCAAAAGGGTAGAAATGTTGACATGGGCTTGCTCCTCACCACCAAGTGGGGCTGGCTCGGGGCCTCCAGCTCCTCTTCCCCCTGCACCCCTAGCCTGGCCCCATCTAATGGATTCCACTCTGATGTAAGACCTGGCTCTACCTGTGCCTATGAAGAAAGTGACTGATGCTTTTAAAGTCCCAAGAAGCCACATTCCAAAAATAAGATGGAGAGGACAGGAGAGCCAGAATGAACAGAATAGAAAACCTGAATTCTGTCTTCATTTCTTTAGCCACGCCACCTCCACCCAGAGTGCTGAGGAGTTAGTCTAAAGAAGAATTTTTTGGGAAAAGATTGCCAACAAGAATCCAAGAACTGCCCAGTTTCTGGGAAGAGAAGTCAATGGTGCTAGTGAGTAACCAACCATCATCTCAAACAACACAAAGCTGAAAGTTCTACCCTAATATTTTCAGGTGTCTAGGAAGATTCTAGTGAAAAAATGGCACCTAGTGATATCACAGATATCACAGAGCTCTGGCAGTGCAGTGATTAAGGCATTCGGCTACTAACCAAAAGATTGGCAGTTCAAATCCATCAGCTGCTCCACAGGAGAAAGATCAGGCAAGCTGCTTCCGTAAAGGTTTATAGCATTGCAAACCCTATGGGGCAGTTCTACTCCATACTATAGGGTCACTATGAGTCTGAATTACTTGATGGTAGTGGGTTTCATTTTTGGGTTTTAGTGAAGTCATGGAGTCCTTAGGAGGTACAGATGGTTAAGGAGCTTGGCTGCTAACTGAAAGGTTAGAGGTTCAGGTCTAACCAGAGGCACCTTGGAAGAAAGTCCTGGCAATCTCCTGAAAAATCAGCCATTGAAAACTCTATGGCACAGTTCTACTCTAACACATGTGGGGTCATCATGAGTCAGAGTTGACTCAATGGCAATTAGTAAGTGATGTCACACTCTCATACTCACTCTGCTCACAGTGCTTCCCCATGAACCCCGTGCGGCAAGTGCACTGTCCAGAGATGTGGTCACAGTCAGCTCCATTTTGACACTGGCAAATCAATGCACAGTCCTTTCCATAAAACCCCAGAGGACATCCTGTGTAAGGAGGAAGGAAAACCAGCAGTCAAGAGGCTTCTGAGGAAAAAACAAAGCTTGTGCCTCCAACATGCTTATGTTTAAACTTGACATTCACCTAGCCATTAGAGAATGAATAAAGACAACAGTGCATATCTCAGCCTGTCACAAAGTCTACTGAAGTCAAAAGGCAGGACTCTTGCACAGAGGTTATAATCCATGAGGAGGAAGCAGAACAGTCGTATCTGGGAATTTAGCCTTTACTAGTACCCCTGGAAGCAAGCTGAGTATCTTCTAACAAAGCAACCCCAGAACCCATGGAAGTATGGGGCATTTCCGCTCATTCTTTCACTCAACCACCAGAAACCTGGACTCAAATTCTGTGGGATGAAATGAATATCTTATGTCAAAGTTATCTGTAGGCTTTTACTTGTAGCACAAAATATCTCTGCAACCAGAGGTGTCCACTATATCCATCACTACATCTTTAGTAAAGGTGATAGAAAAGATTATCTATCACCTTTACTAAAGATGTGTGATAGAAGGCTTAACTTACAAAACTATACTTCACAGTGTGGTGTAAGAAATTAATAAGCCCTTTGTGGTAGTTCAGTTTGTGGGTCAATTTGGCTGGGCCTGATTGAGTGGCTGGGCAGCTGGATGTAGTATTCCCCATGATGAAACTGGTAATAACTCCATGGTGGAATGTACTGGGAGCAGCTGAGTAGCTGCCTTAGGGAATATGGCCTGCTTCCTGTATATAAGCAGAGGCCTTGGGGAATGGTCTCTAGCTCATGGCACACTTGGACCCTGCATGTAGTTGCATTGTTGTTCAGCAGCCTGCCATGCTCTGCCAACCTGAGGACTTATGATGGACTTGAATTAATGGCCTTCCATGTGGTTTGGTAACATCAGGGCCATGCCTTTTTACTTGTCAACCTTGGACTTGGCAGCCTCAGCAGCCAGCAGCTGCCTGAGTGAAGAAAAGCCTCTAGCTTCAGTGGGCCGGGAGCTGAAGGCAGAGCTGAAGCCCAAGTCTGAGGGGCTTTCACCCAGCCCCTAGGGCCTGGCACTTTGAACGTGGACTTAAAGCCTCCAAGTTATAAGAATAAACTCCTGTTTGTTAAGGCCATCCCATTTGTGGTATATTTCTTGTCAGAGTGGCACTAGGTAACCAAAACACCCTTGCACTGCCCCATAGTTTACAAGACCCAGATTAAGGGCCTCTCAGGCTAGGGACATACACAAGCCTTGTTGGCTTACATAGGCCGCAGCTGTTGGGCTAGAGTGCTTCAGCGCTCTCTGGCATAAGGAAAGCTGGAATCCAGGCTGGTCTGAGAGCTGTTCCTAATTATCCCATGAGTTTTTTATTCTCCCTTCTTCTGATGGTGAGTTTTTAACGAGAGCCAAATGTCAAGAATGATGCTGGCATGCAATAACAACCACCATCACCATGCATTTATTCAGCACCTAGTCTGTGCAGGTCTTTTTTATATCCTCTCATTTGATCCCTACCAGTCTCCTTGAAAAGCAGGGATGGACATTCCCATCCTATAGATGGGAAATGAGGCCTAGAGTCCCCTAAGTCACACAGTTAGCAAATGGTAGGGCCAAGATTCAAATGCATACAGAATTGACTCCAGAACCCCCATTCTTCCTACTATATCATGTTAACCCCACTTAAAAAGGTCCTCTATTTGGAGCAGGTCCTAATTTTAGAAATACCAATAATAACTTTTAAGTGATTTTCTCTAGGGACCTTAAAAACCTTTCCCTATGTATATATTATCTCCAGAGACATGCTTGGGATAATCTCGCTCCTTTCTAATTCTCTCTTTTAAATCACAACTCAAGGTCTATAGCCCCTTTTAGAAAGTTTCAAAACACCTGTTCAGCCTATTCTCTAAGTAGTGTTAAACAAGAATTGTCTTAATTTCTGACTCAGCTTTCCTCCTCAGTTCATTTCTTGATTTAAAAATTATTATTATTAATGATGATCATAAATCATGCTTTCTGGTCTCCTGTATTCAACTGAAGGCAAGAGAGTAGAGAAGAGTCTTTTCTTCCCAGTGAAGCTTCGTTATGGAGAACTGTCTTTTAAATCCTTGTTGTTGTTATTTAAATCCTATGATGCTAAAAACTTCATAGAAGAAAGAATGTAGAAATCTCTATGGTTAGGACACTATTGCAACACAAAATGGAAAAGAACTAGAGGAGTGGTTCTCAAAGTGTGGTCTCTGGACCAGAGCATCAGCATCACCTGGAAAGTTGTTAGAAATGCAAATGATCAGGTCCCACCCCACACCTCCTAGATTAGATACTCCAGGGGTGGGGCTCAAAGCTTTATGTGTTAACAAGCCCTCCAGGTGATTCTGAACCTTCATAAAGTTTGAGAACCAGCAAACTCAGTCTTCTCCAGGAACATATATTAAGTCAGGCTGTGAGGATGGCTGTGTTCACTACCTTTCTAAACACTCTCTTTATCCTAACCTTTGTGCTGTTAGAATAAATGATAGGAAGTTTGATCCACATAAAGAGAATCTGGTTAAAGGAGAGAGGAGAAAGGAACTGCACACCATCACATTGTAGAGTGGCTCCATCTCAGTGTCCTAACAGGATACAGAGACAGAATAGTTAGAATGTGACAGCTCTTAGCCACCTGGAGACATTTCAACATCTAGAGATCATTGGCTAGACCAAACATCTCAGTGTCAGGGACTCGGTGAGTTTGGATTGTGCATGCAAAGTGCACGGTTGTTTCCCCCTAGGATGTGGCTTCCGTTGATGAGCCTCACAAGGCTTGTCGCTTACTCTGAGTGCAGTAGAGACCCGTCCAGCCAGGAGTGCATTTACATTCCCCATCGTAGGCGCTGCAGAAGGCCCCATTGTGGCAGTTGCATGTGTGGATGCAGTTTGGGCCCCAGTGAGCAGGTGGACATGCTGAAACCATAACATGCATGGAGAGGTTTGTTAGAGTCTCGAGGCCAGAACCCACAGATACCCATCCACCCTTACACATCTACTTGTACGTAAATGCAACGCAACCCTACGCACTGCTGTGGAGTCCGATCAGACTCATAGCGACCCCTCCTTGGGTTTCTGATGGCAGTATCACTACAGAAGTAGATTGCCCAACCTTTCTTCCGAGGAGTTGCTGGTGTGTTTGAACCACCAGCCTTCTGGTTAGCAGTCAAGTGCCTTAGGCACTATACCACCAGAGTTCCCACTTGTATGTAAGAGATTAGCAATGTACATCAGGAGAAAAGAGAGTGCAATGCTCCAATTCTGCACTAAAACCCAGACAGCAATGCTGACCACACCACAATCATTGCAGACATATGTATGCATATACAGGCTACAGAATAAGGCAGGCAGAGTAAAAACCATCTCAGGTTTACAGATTCATTTACCTAACACATATTCATTGCCTACTATGTACCTGGCACTTCTCAGCCCAGAGGAGATAGAAGAGGACAAGACAAAGTTGATACCACCTCAATAAGTTATATTTTAGTAGAGGAGGCAGGTGAACTCACCAACCAACCAACCAAAAAAAAAAAAAAAAAAAAAAAAAAAAAAAACAGTGGAGAAGGAAAAAAAAAAAAAAAAAAAGGAAAAGGCAGATAAGAATGATGGGAGCTACTCTTTTAGTAGCTATAGGAAGCCCTCTCTGAGGAGAGGACAATTGAGCAGAGAGCCCATGGGGAAAATGATTTCACTCAAAAAGGTCAAGGGACTCAAGTCCATAAAATTTTTGTTTGATCTCTAATCTTATATTTTCCACTGTACTCCAGAGTTGTCACTATAGGCTCATTTTAAATGTGAAGGCTCTCAGTTGAATGTAAGGATTGGTTGACCCATAAAAGCTCTTAACTGGAAAAAGCAGGAAATAATAAAAGGAAATCATTAGGTTGTTGATGTTGTTGTTGTTAAGTGCCATTGAGTCAGCACTGACTCACAGCAACCCTACATACAACAGAATGAAACACTGCCTGGTGCTGTGCCAGCCTCACAATCCTTGCTACACCTGAGCCCATCATTGCAGCCAAATCAAATCATTAGGGGGCACTGCTAACTGAGGGACAACCAGAAACTCAAAGTATCTGTGAAATAATAATCCAAGATTATGGGGTAATATGATTTGATTTATAAAAAAATATTTTTTATTTTATACCAATCCTTCAGGGACATTAAAATTACTTAAAAAGAGGAACACATACAAAATCTGTAAGTCACCCAATAGGAAATATGGACCATAAAGACAATAAACAAATCAGAAATCATTAAAAAGTTAAAAAAAAATAAAAGTACATTCTCTCATAATTCTGTATACCATTTTTGCCCAAGAGCAAAGGAAGAATAATAGCTGACACTTGAGGTCTGGAATAAGCATTAGAATGAATGAGTTTTTTAAGTACAACATCCTCATTTTATAGATGAGAAACTGAGGTTCAAGAAAGTTTAATAGTGGCTTGTCCAAGGACACACAGATTAAAAATAATATTTGCTGTATGTTAGGTAAATACAGCTTCTCTCTTTTAAGGCCACAACTAGACTCAAGTATAAAAATGATTGAAGGGTCTACTCTATGTGATACTCAATAGAACACTCTTTCATCTGAAATATCCTATTCCTTAGATTATATTTACCAAAACTTTGTAAACCCTTTTATGTTCACAATATATTTTTCTAAGATAACTCACTTGAAATGGGCTTCACTCTCTACACTGGTTATGGTCAGAAAACGGGAATGAGGATCATTCCACTTTTATATTCCCAAATGGTAAATGTAGAGAAAACCGAAACCAAGCTCACTGCCAACTAGTTGATTCTGATTCATAGTGACCTTATGGGACAGAGTAGAACTGCCTCACAGGGTTTCCAAGGCTGTAAATCTTTGTGTAAGCAGACTGTCTCATCTTTCTCTCATAGAGTGGCTGGTGGGTTCAATCTGCTGATCTATTGGTTAGCAGCTGAATGCCTTAACTATTGCATCACCAGAGCACCTCATAAATGTAGATACAGGGCTTCAAAAATCATTTCTCCAAAGGACACCTGACCCTTTAAATATCTAAAAACCCAACCAAACACACTGCCATTGAGCTGATTCCAATTCATAGTGACCCTACAGAACAGAATAGAACTGCCCTTATAGGGGATCCAGTGTTGTAAATAGTTATGAAAACAGACTTCCTCATCTGGTGAAGTGGCTGGTGGGTTCGAACCACTGACCTTTTGGTTAGCAGCCAAATACATTAACCACTCTGCTACCAGAGCTCACTGTTCCTCTAAATGCATCTCTTTAATTTTTCAAAGACTCTCTTTTTGCCGTGAAGGACTTTTTTCTTTGTAGACAGGCTAACAATTAGCCAAGTGTAAATATTAAGGTGGTTCCACAAAATGAAACACAAAAAGGAAAACAGAACTAGAGAAGCGGTTCTCAAAGTATGGTGTCTGGACCACAGCCTCAGCATCACCAGGAAAGTTGTTAGAAATGCAAATGATCAGATTTCACCCCAGACCTACTAGATTAGATACTCCAGGGGTGGGGCTCAAAGCTTTGTGTGTTAACAAGCCCTCCAGGTGATTCTGAAGCTCCGTAAAGTTTGAGAACCAGCAAACTCAGTCTTCTCCAGGAACACACATTAAGTCAGGCTGTGAGGATGGCTGTGTTCATTACTTACTAAACACTCTCTTCATCCTAACCTTTGTTCTGATAGAATAAATGATAGGGAGTTTGAGCCACATGAATAGAATCTGGTTAAAGGAGAGAGGATCTGCACACCGTCACATTGTAGTGTAGCTCCATCTCAGTGTCCTGACAGGATACAGAGACAGAACAGTTGGAATGTGACAGCTCTTAGTCCACAAAGTCCATAAAGGACTCAATGAAATCAGTGATCTCCAAGACAAGCAAAGGCTTTTCCCAATTATATCAGCTTCCTCTGGACTGATGATGAGGGCAGGCAACACTATAGTCTCCATTCATGGTGATATTCCCATTTTTGACCTTCCAGGCACACTCAGCCTCCAAATGAGGAAGTGACTAACTTCCAAAATAAAGAGTGCTTTAAAGTATATCTGTCATTTTATGACAATTGGTTCTTTTTTTTCTCCCAAGACTCTGCCTCAAACTGATGGCAACCTGAATCAGTCAGAGTCCTTGCAACACAGACTGTGGTGACTCCTGGAGTAATTTCTCTGAAACAGAATGAAACACGCACCAAGGATTTGTGTCTAATAACACTCCTCCCCCAAAGAGCTACATTTCCAAGACCTATGCTGGTTTTTCAAAAGGCTCTGCTTCTTTATTCCTCAGAAATGGGATGCAGCATGAAATATTCAAGAAACAGTAACATTCAGAAACAAAGCATCAGACAAAATATATTGTTTATCAATTAATTCTCACAGGTTGCCTATAACTGTGAAATCTGAATGAAATAACCAAGAAATGGCAGTGCAAAATCAGTACATAGTCATGTTTTGACTTTTCTATGTGCATGGTGGGTGAACTTTATATAAACTGATTATGTGCCATGAAATTTATAAAGAATGGTGCCAGATTAACTACAGTGCAATTCCTTGGTCAGAAGTTGTTTACTTTTACAAGTTGCACTAACCCTTTGAAATCATTAACCAACAATTTATAGTAGGTGTAATCTCTTCATGACATGGGTAATCCAAAAGTCATTTATAGTTCTTCATAGGGTTGATCAGCTCCAGTCAGAAATACAGTGGTTGTGGGAGGCACCTGGGTGAAGCCGAGGTTAAGAACGTGAGCTGCAGTTAGGTGGACACTGAAGTTGGCTCAGGATCCCAACAGGTTTTCAAGGCTTACAACCCTGAAGCACTACTTCTTCATTCTCCTGTCATTAACTCTCCAGACAGACACAATGAAGAGACAAACTTCTAAGTAGACCTATTTTCATTTTAATTCAATGGATCTAAGTCACTAAAAAGTGAATAACAAAAAAGCTATGTATTTAGTTTCTTCCCAAGACATTATTTGCATCTAAATATAGGACCACTTTCTCATAGCACCCCTCCTTGGGTTTCCGAGGCAGTATCACTACGGAAGTAGATTGCCTAATCTTCCTTCCAAGGAGTGGCTGGTGGGTTTGAACCCCCAGCCTTCTGGTTAGTGGTCAAATGACTTGGGCACTATGTTTTTGGATTTTTTTTTTTTTGCAGAGAATAAAAAAACAAGCAATTTTAAAATGATAATAATGTATTGTATAACTAGTCATATATACTTTTTTGATTATACATACACTCATGCTTCAATCCTAAATAATTAGAAAACCAACAAATTCAAAAGTTTGATCAGTTGTTTTGAGAGATTCAAGAAACAAACATTACTTACGCTGAGAGCAGTCACTGCCGATCCAACCCGGGTAACATTGACAAGATCTGTCAATGGGATTACAGGTTCCATTGTTTGTGCAGGTACAAATCCCTGCACAGTTTTTCCCAAATCTGCCACTGGGACACACTGTGAATAAGATATAGGTCAGTAACTGACAATCATATCCCATCTCTCAGAATCCTAGACTCTTGGGGCAGAAGGGACTGTAAAGGTGATCAATCTACTACTTGCCTCCCCACACCAGTATACCTCATCTTGAATGGGCTCATTATCACAAACATATGAAGCCAAAGACTCTCACTAAGGCATCACAAACCACAAAGCATCATCACATTTCTAGAAGTCTGGCTTCTTGGCTTCTCACTCAGGGAGTCAACATCCTTCCTTATATTGATTTTTCATGGGAGGATGTTTCCAATTAAAACTGAAGAGCTGCACAGCTCAGAGAACAAAGAAATTTTGCTGGAGTGGCAAGCCCGCATTTCCAAAGCTCAAAGTCATATTTCCAGAAGCTGCAGACACAGCACATCAGAAGGCATGAGAGCTGATAACTTAAAACATGTTATTTGGGAAGCCTGAGAGGAAGCCTGAGGACAGATTCCATGGGGCTTGCTCATCGTCATATTATCTCCCCCAAATGCATGTGCAACTCACCTTCATTGCAGAGAGCCCCTGTGAAGCCAGGCAAGCAGTCACACAGGCCCGTGATGTGATGGCAGGGCCCACTGCTGTGCACACACTGCGGGCACGTCTGGCTGCAGCGATGCCCGTAAAAACCAGGGGAGCAAACTGAGAAAGAATGGAAATCCAGTTATCCTTCCTGAGACGCATTTCTCTCACATTCCACATTGGGGCTAGTTAAAGTTTCTGGTAAGGACTTCAATAATAGCCTTAAAATCAACTTAAAAAGAAATGATACTAAGAATTTAAATTTTCTATGTATAAAACAGCCACACACACACACACACACACACACACACAAACAACAAAGTATTCTTTACCAAAACCAAACTCACTGCCATAGAGTTGTTTCTGACCCATAGCAACCCCCATTGGGTTTCCAAGGCTGTAAATCTTTACGGAAGTAGATCACCCAGTCTTCCTTCCACAGGTTTGAACCCCTATCATACCAGTTAGCAGTCAAGTGCCTTATGCACTATGCCACCAGAGTAATGAAAAGAAACCACTACACTCTGCATTCCTTGAGGAGCAAGTAAATGCCTTCATTCTTTTTATTCCTCATTTATATCCCTAATTATTTCAAAGCTTGTCATAGGCCAGGGGTTCAAAACATTATTACTGAACTAATGAATGAATTAAATAAAATTGTAAATATTAGTAAGTCTCAAATAAGAACTTTCAGACCATTTGTTGATCCTTTATTCTTTAAAAGTCATTACTGGAAATAAACAGATCAACAGTCAGAGTTAGATGTTTACTGTTCACACTGGCCCAGGTTAATGAGTGTGACATCTTATATTTAATAAAAGATTTAGTAAAATCTTCCAGATCATTTCCTAACTCCAAAATTCTACTAAGCAATGTCAACAGCCCCTACTTTTAAGGTTCCCAATAAGACATATGATTTGCCGCAAGGTTTGGCTGATGTTGACTTCTGGTAATTGAGGTAAGTCAAATGCCAAATTGCTGAACAAAATATTTACAGGTCATTGAATATCTGGAACACCTTTTGCAAGATTTAAGGAAGGATCAAAAAACATATCCTGATGATGGTGCCAGAGGGGCAATGAAATCACTACTGAAAAGACTTGGTTAAAGCCCCATCTGTCAAGTTAGTGCTGAAGGTTAGACAGAATAAAGCTCATGATGAAATGCTATCAAGGTCAGTCCTGCAAAGTACAGGGTGACCTATTACACTCCTCTCTGCCCTCAGCTGCAACACAGCATCACTGTAGACTGTGTGGTAGGACAGAAATAATTATTCTGTACGAAGTGCCCAGGGACAGAAAGACAGAAATTAGTAGCTAATGAGACTTACTTCTCTGACAAGTGGTGCCTCTGAATCCTGGTGCACACTCACAGATGCCGTCATCGGGAGAACACGAAGCCCCATTTTTGCAGTAGCAGGGCAGGGAGCAGTTGGGGCCCCAGCGCCCCTCAGCACACACACTGTCACAGTGGACACCTGAAACAATGCATATGGGGTAAGTCTGAGTGAGAGACCATGTGGGTACTTTGGGGATTCAAATCCAGAGATGATAACTAAGCTCACAATCTTAAATCTGAACTATCACAGGCAGCATGAATGCAGGTGATAAAAGGTTTAAAATCCAGTTATCATCTCACACACACCAATACATAACAACAGCAGCATCACATTAAAATACTACCCAGAACTACTTCTTTAGAAGAAAATGCAGAGGGCGCTCTGCTTATTAAATGCAACATTTATTGAAAATTTATTAAAATATTGTATCATCTAAACTTCACTGACTTTTCCATCATCCCATTCTGTGTTTTTACATAGAAATGGACAAAGTGTAAATGATAAACCAAGAGGTGTCTAAATTGTTTTACATAAATAAAACCCTCCCCTGGAAAAAAAAATAAGCACAATCTTAAAATATTTTGATGATATATTATTCAGGATAAAATGACACATTAACATGTGCTACGGAATTATTTAAAAATTTAATCTGACATTGGACAGATATTGGCAGAATATCATAATGGTTGTTATTTACAGTTGTTTAAGCTATTTATTACTATGAAACTGTATGTAGGTGTTTAACTCATCCTGGAAACAGAGAAACTTTGGAATCAGCCACAAGTGAGTAAATAGGTACATAAAAATATATAAAGAAAATCTGAGGTTGCAAAAATAAAAATGAAGCTGGGCTTTGTTGAGGTAACTCTCTTTTGTAAGTTGTGTTTGAAATTCAATGGGAGCCTCTATCTTGTAAGTAAGAATTCCTCACAACTGAAAGAAATGCTCTTTTCATTGAAAGGTAATCAGAATGAATTATAATTAGTGGTGAACTGGTGATTGCTGGCCTCAGACTAAATGAAAACATGGTTAGAACAAGTGCACACACACTCAAGGATTCCAGAACACAAACGACGCACAGCACCAAGGATGCCAAGAACATCATGTTTGTATTATGGTTTTTGCTTCTAAATCAATCAGGTAAAAGTCACCTTGGCTTGGACCTTAACACAGAACCAGCCACAAACCATGACAAGGATGTTGCTGCTTGGTGCACAGCCATTCCAGCTGAACGACAACTCTCCAACTTTTTACTGCTCCTTTTTCTCCTCCTGAAAGTCTCCCACATGGTAAAGGCCATTAAGTAGGCATGAAAGCATTCAGACCTCATTGTGTCTGGCTCCTACTGACAACAGACTTTTCTTTCAGCTTAGACCTCTGACTAAAAATGAAGATCGAGCCTGTAATGAACCCAATTAAGGTCTGGCGGTTCAAACCCACCAGCCACTCCTCGGAAGGAAGGTTGGGCAATCCTACTTCCGTAGTGATACTGCCTCGGAAACCCAAGGGGGGGGTCGCTATGAGTCGGGCCGACTCGACGGCACATAACAACAACAACAACAACAATAGAATAAAATAGGGAATTTGGGCCTACAATACTTTTTTTTATTCTCTTGAATTAAAAAATATATTATCTTTCCAAAATATTCTTTTTGAAAAACTGAGACAGAGTTGCAAATTCCATGCTCCCTAAATGTTTATACTAGTCAGAGTCTTATCTGGTATTCTTTGTTGTTAGGTGCCATCGAGTCAGCTCCAAGTCATAGTGACCTTATGTACAACAGAACGAAACACTGCCCGGTCCTGTGCCAGCCTCATTATCCTTGCTATACCAGAGCTCATCATTGCAGCCACTGTGTCAATCCACCTTGTTTAGGGCCTTCCCCTTTTTCACTGACCCTCCACTTTACCAAGCATGATATCCTTCTCCAGGGAATGATCCCTTCTTACAACATGACCAAAATAGGTGAGACAAAGTTTGGCCATTCTCACTTCCAAGGAGCATTCTGCCTGCACTTCTTCCAGGACAGATTTGTTAGTTTTTTTTTTTTTTTTTTTGGCAGTCTATGGTACTTTCAGTATTCTTTGCCAACACCACAACTCAAAAGCACCAACTCTTCTTCAGTCTTCCTTATTCTTTGTCCAGCTCTTACATGTTTATGTTGTTGTTGTTATTGTTATGTGCTGTTGAGTTGGACCCGACTCACAGCGACCCCTCCTTGGGTTTCCAAGGCAGTATCACTACGGAAGTAGATTGCCTCATCTTCCTTCCAAGGAGTGGCTGGTGGGTTTGAACTGCCAGCCTTCTGGTTAGCAGTCAAGTGCCTTTGGCAGTATGCTACCAGAGCTCCTGCACATGTATATGAGATGTTGAAAATGCCATGGCTTGGGTTAGGTGCACCTTAGTCTTCAAAGAGACATCTTTGTTCTTCTGAACTTTAAAGAGGTCTTTTGCAGCAGATTTGCCCAGTGCAAGATGTTGTCTGCAGTCTTGACTGCTGCTTCCATTGGTGTTGATTGTGGAACCAAGTAATATGAAATTTTGACAACTTTAATCTTTTCTCCATTTATTGTGATGCTGCTTATTGATCCTGTTGTGAAGATTTTTGTTTTCTTTATGTTGAGATGTGATCCATACTGCAGACTGTATTCTTCAACCTTCATCAGTAGGTGCCTTAAGTCATCCTCACTTTCAGCAAGCAAAGTTGTGTCATCTGCATATCTCAGGTTGTTAACGAGTCGTCCTCCAATCCTGATGCCATGTTCCTCTTCACACAGTCCAGCATCTCAGATTATTTGTTCAGCATACAGATTTAATAAGTATGGTGAAAGGATAAAACCCTGATGTACTCCCTTCCTGATTTTAAACCCTTCTACTGTACAAATGACAGCCTCCTGGTCTATGTACAGGTTCCTCATGAGTACAATTAAGTGTTTTGGAATTCCCATTCTTCTCAATGTTATCCATAATGTGTTATGATCCACGCAATCGAATGCTTTTGCATAACAATAAAACATAGGTAAACATCTTTCTGGTATTCTTTCCTTTCAGCCAGATCCCTTTAATATCAGCAATGATATCCCTCATTCCATGTTCTCTTCTGAATCCAGCTTGCATTTCTGGAAGCTCTCTGTCAATATACTGCTGCAACTGTTTTTGAATTCTCTTCAGCAAAATTTTACTTGCATGTAATGTTAATAATATTGTTCGATAATTCCACAATCTGTGAGATCACCTTTCTTTGGAATGGGTACAAATATGGATTTCTTACAGTCATTTGGCCAGGTAGCTGTCTTCCAAATCTCTTGGCATAGCTGAGTGAGTGCCTCCAGTGTGGCATCCGTTTGTTGGAACAACTCAATGGGTATTCCATCAATTCCTGAAGGCTTTTTTTTTTTTTTTTTCTGCCAGTTCCTTCAGTGCAGCTTTGACTTCTTCCTTCAGTACCATTGGTTTTTGATCATATGCCACCTCCTGAAATGGATGATCATTGACCAATTCTTTTTGGTACAGTGACTCTGTATTCCTTCCATCTTTGTTTGATGTTTTCTGCATCATTCAATACTGTGCCCATAGAGTCTTTCAATATTGCAACTCAAGGCTTAAATTTTTCTGCAGTTCTTTCAGCTTGAGAAAGGCTGACCGTGTTCTTCCCTGTTGGTTTTCTAACTCCAGGTCTTTTCACATTTCATTATAATAATTGACTTTGTCTTCTCGAGCTGCTCTTTGAGATCTTCTGTTCAGGTCTTTTATCTTGTCATTTCTTCCATTTACTTTAGCTACTCTCCACTCAAAGGCAAGTTTCAGAGTCTCTTCTGACATCCATTTTGGTCTTTTCTTCCTTTCGTGTCTTTTCAATGACCTTTTGCTTTATTCATATGGTCTTGGCGATAGAAATAACGCTGGAGATCACATGATAGAATTTTGCAAGACCAATGGCTTATTCATTGGAAGTAACTTTTTTTAGCAACATAAATGGCAGCTCTATACATGGATTTTGCCAGATGGAGTGCATAGGAACCAGAATGACTACATCTGTGGAAAGTGGTGATGGAGAAGTTCAATATCTTCAGCCAAAACAAGGCCAGGGGCTGAGTGCGGAACTGAACTTCAACTGCTCATATGCAAGGTCAAGTTGAAGCTGAAGATAATTAAAACAAGTCCGTGAGACTTGATTACAACCCTTGATATAATTTGACCTTGATTATATCCCTCCTGAATTTAGAGACCATCCAAAGAATACATTTGATGCATTGAATACCAATGACTCAAAACAAGAGGAATTGTGGGATGACGTTAAGTACATCATCAATGAACAAAGCAAAAGGTCATCTTGTATTCTTACTCACCACTGTATGACTAGGCCCACCATTTGTCTGTCAGTTCATCACACTGTGGTGGCTTGAATGTTGCTGTGGGGCTGGAGGTATTTGGGGCCACCAGTATTTTAAATACCAGCAGGGTCACCCATGATGGACAGGTTTCAGTGGCATTTCCAGACTAAGACAGACTGGGAAGTAAAACAGGGCCATCCACATCTGAAAAAAGTTGGCCACTGAAAACCTTATGAATAGCAGTGAAACATTGTCTGATACGGTGATGGAAGATGAGCCCCTCAGGTTGGAAGGTACTCAAAATATGACTGGGAAAAAATTGCCTCCTTGGAGCATAGTTGATCTCAATGATGTGGATGGAGTAAAGCCTTTGGGACCTTCATTTGCTGATGGGGCATGACTCAAAATGGGAAGAAACAGCTGCAAATCTTCATTAATAATTGGAACATGGAATGTACAAAGTATGAACCTAGGAAAATTGGAAGTTGTCAAAAATGAAATGGAACACATAAAGATCAATGTCCTACGCATTAGTGAGCTGAAATGGACTGGTATCAGCCATTTTGAATCAGACAATCATCTGCTCTACTATGCTGGGAATGATAAATTGAAGAGGAACAGAGTCATATTCATTGTCAAAAACAACATTTCAAAATCTGTCCTGAAGTACAATGCTGTCTGTGATAGGATAATAGCCATTTGCCTAAAAGGAAGACCAGTTAATACTACTATTATTCAAATTTACACATGAAATACTGAATCCAAAGATAAAGAAACTGAAGATCTTGATCAACTTCTACAGT